CTGCTGACCTTGTGGTTTGCAGCCCGATTTGTAACCACTACACTACCAGAGGTCCTATTCATAGTCTCACCTTTATATCTTGGCAATGAAGTACTCAGCACTATTTTTCCAACATAAACTTTTTGCTGCTCTCATCTGCCTTAGTTTGAACTTCTGACAACACTGATAACCTAAGGACAATCCCACTATAGTCCGAGTCTTCATGCCTGAGTACAGGGCCTTGCATCAAATTTTCTTTAGTTCCGTGATTAGAACAAATAATTAACAAAGCTAGTATTATATATACAGTGCCACAGAAAGGAAAGAGTTTCAAGGATGGTCACATGGAAAGTGACTCCCTAGAGCTTACAAAATAACATTCCAAATTCTAGCCTGGATTTAAGGATTATGCACAATCAACCTTTCCAGCCGTAATGACTCGTATTTTCTCACAAGACACAATGTGTTAAATTCGACTACTTGTTCTTCACTGGGTATGTTTCATGTGCAAGGGCTTGTATACTTCTGCTCATGCTAGCAACAGAGACAGCTGATTTCTTATTAAATCTAGGCATATAAATGTGATCGAGTCAGACCTAATTATCAGATACTTTTGAAAGAAGGGGATCTCGGGTACCAATATTGGTCAGCTCCATAATACCCATTAAAGTATTCTAAGTGATCATAAAAGTAATTTTCCTCAAGAAAGATTGAGGGAAATAGAATCAGACAGGGACTAGGTCTATCCATTAGGTCAAACAACTTCACTCTAAAAACTGTGTAATCTAGGACTTCCAGCAACATGGCAGATTAGGCAGGGGCACTACACAAACCCTCTAACAACAAAGATATGAGAGGCAAAATTGAAACAGATGAAAATTCTGGCACCTCTAACTTCAGGAGAAAGGTTAGAGAGGTGGATGGAGTGCTTGCTGGGAGGAGAGGCTGAGCAGGGGTGGTGAGAGAGGGAGACTGACCGGTGAAGGGCTGGTCAGACTTGGCTCAACCATTTGTGAGCAGCTTTGGCAGTGGAGGGAGGCTTGACGGAGCAGATTCGCGAGCACTGCGATGCCACGGCACACCACCAACACCAGCACTGGAATGGTGCAGTTTCTTCTTTTTCCCATGTTCCTGGTGAGAAGTGTAGTCAGCTCCCACCTTCATGTGCCGCAGCACAGACCCTGATCTCTGGTAATTTGGTGCCTTGTGGTTGGGAGCCATGCTAGCAAAAGGTGGGGGCTGGCTGTGGCACTTTGGTGTGCCACTTTGGTGCCTAGATTCAGATGGGCTTGGCTTCAGACCTACAAAACTCTCAAAGCCACCAGATCAGCATTTAACCAATCACCCTGCCCCCAAGCTTACCTGTGGTCCTAACAGACACTGAAACCAGCTCCATCAAGGACCCCCAGGAGCTACTTCCAGATTGAGTGCCCTGAATGTAGATAACACTGAGGCCAATAGGAATTCTATCTAGGACCAGGAACTATTGCTGTCACATCCTTTCCACAAGCACCTTATGAACTCCTTGAATTGCAGGAACCCCCCAGAGACCTCCCCACTCCAGATCCAACAAGTGCACTATTTGTTTTTACTACTACAACAACCTCACAATGCCCCAGAGATAACAGACAATTTTAGCTCATATGAAGAAACAAGAAAGAATGGCTCAAACAAGTAACCAAGATGCAGAATCAGGAAGCATTTCTGAGGAAGAAAAGGTAATGGAGTTAACTGAAAAATAATTCAAAATAATGATAATTAGGTACCTTCAAAGGATTGATAAAAAGATCAAGGAAAGGAAAGAGAACAAAATTTTTAAAATTTAGAAGAATTCAGGAAAACTCTACAATAACAAACAGACAAAATAAATGCAAATTTTGAAACAATATAAAACCTGCAATTAGAAATCCAGAAGATTAGTACTAAGATCTCAGAAATGGGCAATACATTGAAAGGACAAAGGAGTAGATGTGAAGCAATGGAAGCCCAGATTAGTGAGCTTGAAGATAAATCTCTCAATACTAGTATGCTAGGAGAACAATAAAAAAATATATATAAGAAAAAATCTGAAGAAAGTCTAAGAGTTATGTGGGACACCATGAAGAGGCACAGCTTACAAGACAAACAATCGGAATTCCAGACAGGAAAAGACAAGCACAGAGAAGTGTCAAAGAGTGGTTGGAAGAAAAGGTCCCTAATACCATAAAAGATGAGAAGATAAGCATACAAGAAGCTGAATGAGCCCCAAACAGGACAGATCCCAAAAGAAAATCATCAAGACATACTGTAATCAAACTTTCCAAAATCAAAGACAAGGTTAGAATCCTGAGAGCAACTCAGGAAAAGTAAAAAGGTAATTACAAAGGAATACCAATAAGACTAAGCTCTGATTTCTCAGCAGAAACCATGCAGGCGAGAAGGCAATGAGATGACATGTACCAAACTCTGAAAGAAAAAAACTGCCAACCAAGAATCATATACCCAGTAAAGCAGTCCCTCAAATACAACAGCTAAATTAGGACATTTCCTGATAAACAGAAATTTTCAATGACCTGACCAACTTTGCAAAAAATGCTAAAGGATATTCTTTGGACTGAGAACCAACAACAGCGGACAGCAACCTGAGATTACCACTCATGGTAACACCACCCAGAAGTATTTCAAGTAAAACAAACCTACAAAACTGAAAATAGGGAGCCAGAAATATCAATGTTTAAAGTAGTCAACTACAAAGCAAAAAGATGGAATAATGTTGATACAAAACTTCCAAATGCCAAGGAAGTTAAGTAGATTTCATGATAAACCAGACTGTTTTGAGCAGGGGAAAAAACTAATATATTACAGGGTAACCTCAAAGAAAAATAATATATCTACCTGCACATCAAAATTAAAAGAGGAAAATCAGACAGACTTAGTAAACATTAACACAACAGAAATGAAAATGAAAAGAAAAATCACAAACAAAATGAACTCAGCATAGAAAAATTATGTAGAACAAAGAATACAGGAGCACCACAAAAAAATACACACACACAGAAAAATGACAACAATTAATGTGTAGTGGTTACAAATCGGGCTGCTAATCTCACGGGCAGCAGTTCGAAACTACCAGTTGTTCCATAGGAGAAAGATGAAGCTTTCTGCTCCCATAAAGATTTACAGCCTTGGAACCCCTGTACAGGGTTGCTATGAGTTGGAACCGACTCGACGGCACATAACAACAGCAACAACAAATTGATAATTACCATGAATGTAAATGGATTAAATGTACCAGTCAAGAGACAGAATCCTTCAATACACTGTCTACAAGAGACATATCAAAAAGATGGAGACAGCCAAAATGCCCATCAACAAAAGAATCATTAAACAACCTTTGGTACTTTCACACAGTGGAATACTATAAAACATTTGTTAAAATAATGATGAATATGTGAAACACCTCACAACAGGAATAAACCTGGAAGACATTATACTGAGTGAAATTAGTCAATCACAAAAGGACAAATATTGTGTGAGACCAATGGTGTAAAAAGTTTTAAAAAGAAGTTTTCTTGATAAAAGAAACAATTTATGATGGTTACATGGGTAGGGATAGGAGGCTGGGGGGGCGGCGAGGGGAAATTATCTACAAACTAGAAAGTAGACACATGTTAACATGTGTGATAGGGCAGTCAATATACAACAAGAAGGAGGTTAGCAGAGGGAAGATAAGGTAGCAGGAGACATAGCGGTGAATGCAATCATTAAAGTAAATAGAGGTAAATGCTATTAACTGTAGGTACTTAGAAGGGATTGTAACTATGTAGTGAAGCAAAGTGTATGGTTAAGTATATTGTTTATTGAGTGTAAAAATGATGATCTGCTTTGTAAACCTTCACTCGATTCACAATAAGAAGTTTGGGGGGTGGGGGAGACAACCAGGCCAGAGTAACGTATTACCATTAAGAAGAAAGAGCCAGGAGTGGAGCACATCAGTTACACCCAGAGTTCCTGTGCTGAGAACATCCTAGACTCAAGACACATGGAGATCTTCAAGGGATGCCAGGTCCACAGATGTTGAAAGAGTCAACAGAGAAAAAGAGAGAAAGAAAACATTCTCCTACAGTCAAACCTTCCTCTAGTCTTCCAGCTTCTTCCAGTGAGAGAATATATTTGTTTGTTCAGCCTAAATTAATTCATTAACGAAAGAAAGAAAACACATAATCTCATGAACATCAGTCTCCATGACCCTAGAACCAGAAGATTTAGATGGTTCCCGGCTACCATTACCAACTCTTCTGAAAGGAATTACATTAGAAGGTCCTGGATAGAGTGGGAGAAAATGTAGAACAAACATACATTAACATTATAGTATGCTAAACCTACTGGTCAGAAAGAGACTGGAGGAACCCGAGATTATGGCCCTTGCTCACCCTTCAGATCTGGAACTGAACTCACCCTCGTGGCTCAATTTTCAGCCAAGCACAGATAGGTATACAGAGGGGACCACAACACTAGTGGAGGTATGCACACCATAGAATGGTTCAACAATCAAGATCAAAGGGGCAGCATTTATTTACAGACAAAATTGAGAAGGGTTGGGAAAGAAGGTAGAATGGAAATAAGAATCACAGGGAGGAAGAGGAATAATTGATATTACATAGTAGGCACTGTAATCACTGAACTGAAATGAAGTATATTATCTATTGAATGTAAAGCTGATGGTCTGCTCTATAAACCTTCACTCAATTAACAACAAAAGTTTTGTGTGTTTTTTTTAATATGTGATCTGTGAATTTTATGGTATGTGAATGACCTCTCAATAAAACTGTTACAAGATAAAGAAATAGGTAATAGAGTATCTGTGTACAAATTTTCAAAGACTAGCAATCCATGAAAAAGTGGGATTGCAGAATATTGTTTGATTAGTAGCTGCTGTCCCTCTTATCCATTCCATCATCAGGTCTTTGAGAAAAGCAAGAGTTGGTCCACAGGCCTCTGACACGGTGCTCAGATGCCTTCTGGACCAGGACTGGTGGCTGTCAGATACTTGGCTGCCTGCTGATCTTAGCAAGGGAGTCACTGACAATATTAAAATCATGTTGCAGCTCATTCATAGCGCTGGTTATGCTCTTGATATCTTTCAAGATCTGAATACTCCGTGTGTATGGATTGTACTTCACTTCAAACGGACGCTTAATTGTTTTGGTAAACTCTCTATTTAAGAAAACAAATAAAAGACAGTCAGTTTCTAGGGAAATTGATAAAAATCAAATAAACAATAGCATTCCATTCCACACACTAGACAAAAGACAAGTCTTTTGTATACCCAATCTGATATACTGTTCCATACTTCATGTGCAGAATCCTGCACGGGTGAAAATCCTACTATAGCTATCTATATACACAGACTGATTGAGTCCTCCAGACATCTCTTGACTAGAGTAAAGGGACAATGACAACATTTGACCACACAGTAACAGATCCTTCCATTGTGATTTACACAATGACACATACATACACTCACACAACAGATCAGAAACAGTCCTGTTTCCTATATGTGTGTATCCATTCAGCTTAGAATGCTTTATTTTAGCCTACTCTCAAATGATCTAAATTCTACCCTTTCTTGAAGCATTATCTAGGGTTTTATCTTCTTTATCAAGCCAACATCAAAACCTTTTATTTGGCATCTCCCAGGGACAATCATGTTCCGTACTCTCAGGGACAACTGTGAAACTGAGGATAATTGGGCATCAGTAGGATCTAAAATCCAGATGGCAATACACTTTCTTTGTCTACCCAGAGGGGACTCCTTTTTCTAATTTGTACAAAGATGTCATATGTACTATAGGCAGTCCTCCTGATATTCTCATTTGGTTTTATGGTGTGGTGTGGTGTGGTAGATTAAGCACTGGTCTGCTAACCACAACAAGGTCGCTCCATTATAAATCAGAACCCACCCAATGGCATTTAACAACAACATCATACATGTTCTGACTCCTCTGACTAACGTTGTTGTTGTTGTTGTTGTTATGTGTTGTGGAGTCAGTTCTGACTCATAACGCCCCTGTACAGGGTTTCCAAGACTGTAAATCTTTACGGGACCAGAAAGCGTCATCTTTCTCCCACGGAACAGCTGGTAGTTTCAGACTGCTGACCATGAGGTTAGCAGCCCGATTCGTAACCACTACACTACCAGAGCTCCTTGACTAACAATAAATTCCTAGAAAATAAGGAGTTTGTCTTCAACCCATCCCAGTTCCCACCTTCATAGTGTGATCTCATGATCTCTTTCCCAAGATGTTTTGTTGATTTGGTTCTATAGTCTTCTCCTTTCCTACTATCTCTTCTGGTTCAGACTTTTACTTCTCATCTGAAGTACTAGAAGAATTTCCTAAATACTTTCTCTGCTTCCAATATCCTCCTTTCTTAACTACATACTAGTTGATTAATAGTGAAAGCATAGCTTTGATTGCTTCACACATATGCACTACATTTCCCCACCTCCTTGGCTTTTTCCATATTAACATATACAATATAAATCATATATTGTATATACAATATAAATCATATACATATACAATATAAATCATCTCCTCCAAATTCTTCTCAAATGGCATTACACTTTCTCTGTGCACCCAGTTGAAAGCAACTGCTCCTGAATAAAATGCAGAATAACGTTTCACCTAAGTTTCTCTAAGGGTCTTGTCATTTGCTTTCTTTCAATTTGTAACAACAAATTTTGCATAGTAATTTATGTATAAATATATTTTTTCCTATTGAACTATAAACTCTCTGATGAGAAGGAAAGAGAGGACACCAATTTCTCAAGGATCTGTGCCTGATTTATATCTGCAACTACCCCACATTGCTATGTACAACATACCCTACTATTAGTTGTGAAAGGACGATGTGTTACAAGCAGAAGGCTCCTAGCGGTGCTGACTCCCATGACTTGTTACCAGTATTGGACCTATCTTTTGCAGAGGAAGATGAAGGATATACTCTACCTCATCTTCTCCTTTGCATCTTCAAAGCTTTCTGATACAAAGTAGACGTCCTGGAAAGTTGTGATGAGACATTCCTGTTTGCAGGTAATATTGGGATCAAAGGACTTTATCTTGGCATGTCCAGAAAGTGCATGCTGGAGGACAAAGAGTTAGTGAATCAAAGAATGCAATCAATCTATAAGCACATTCTACACACAACTACCAGAATCAACACAGTTGAAGTTATGAGGAATTAACACTGAATGTGTTACTAATGAAAGGGCTCTACTCTGCAATTGGCTTGCTGTTCACCTAAAAACTGCATGATACCTCCATGACATGTTCAAACTCTCTTCCCCACCTAGGAAGTACCCATGGCTTTCTATGCCTCTGAACTCCAGAGCACACTATTGGTTTCTGCACTATGACACCTACTTTCTATCCTACATCAGAGTATACAGGGCTTATGCCCACTACCAGTTGGCTGGCTAATTAAGGGCAAGACAGAATCTTGGACAGTGTTTAGCACATGTTGGTCAGTAAACAAACCAAAGTTAATACATTTACCATATAAATAATAAATATCAAATGATTCTTTAGAAATTATGGAAATTATTGCTAGCATACCAACAGTGGTGAGGAGACAGCAAGATTTTGTGTGTTTTTTTTTATTATAAAAGTTGTATGCATGTGTATAATCAGAAAACATGGGAAATAGAAAAAAATGCCTCTTAATGTTTGCTGCCTTCCTACGTGGGAGTGCTGTGGCTCTGTAGGATAAGCACTAGACTGCTAATCACAAGGTTCATGGTTCAAGCCCACCAGCCACTCCATGGGAGAAAGATGAGGCTTTCTGCTTCCATAAATATTTATAGCCTCAAAAACCCTACACGGGGTCATCATAAGTCGGAACTGACTCAATATCACTTAACAACAATAAGTCATCCTGTATACTTTCCACAGTAAGCTCTTATTCAAGTCCAAAATGTATTCTAGATTGTGTCAATTACGTTAGGTGAATCCGGCTCTTACTTTGAGTTCACTGACAGAAGAAAGCAAGCCAGCACCAAAGACTCTGAGCTGCCCATCTTGTTTGCACAGACCAAACTCCACAGTGAAGAAGTAGCACTGTAAAAGAACATGAGCATCACTTTCACATCCTGAACGACTCAACTTAAAACAAACTACAACTCCTATTCACTCACCCAAGAACTCCAGAATAAAGCCCAAGGATCCCAACCTGGCTCACAAGTCTCTCTACAATCTGGTTTCATTCTAAAACAGTAAAATTACTGAGACCCCCAAACAACGTTTGGTTATGTGGTCTGTATCTAGCGGTATTTACCATGCAAGAAATCAAAATTGAAAAAATGTTTACTAATTAATGTTAAGTAACAATTTTTTTTAAAACCCCATTATTGTTGTTGTTGTTGTTAAGTGCCATCAAGTCGGTTCCAACCCATAGTGACCCTGTACAGGGTTTCCGAGGGTGTAAATCTTTACGGGAGTAGAAAGCCTCATCTATATCAGCTGGTAGTTTCGAACCGCTGACCTTAAGGTTCACAGCACGATTCGTAACCACTACGCTACCAGAGCTCCTTAAAACCCCATTATATTGTAACAGAAATAACATTTTAATGAAAAAGAGAAATATTTTCTAAAATAAAACAAAAAATAGAAAGAAAAGTAGCACTGTCTTTTAACATTGTAAATCTCTTTAATATCTGGCTTAATAGAAGACAGATGGATTTTCATATCTGCATCTGTATTTGACCTGCTGTAATAGGGTCAGGGAAAAAGGAAGACCCCAGCGAGATAGACTGGCCAAGTGGCAGCATCGATGGACTGAAGCATGACAACAGTAGTGAGGGTGGCCCAGGATCGGGCAGTGTTTTGTTCTGCTGTGCATAAGGTCGCTATGGGTCAGTGTCAACCTGATGGCACCTAACAACAACAACAATACGTTGTTTTGGTTAAAGAAAATGAAAAAAATTCATCTTCATAGATATGTAGTTGGAAAAGTAAGGAATAATTTAATAGCCTTTTCAGATAACTGAATATTCTTCTTTGACACTACGTCAAAACTTGACAAGTGGTAGTATCTTAAAGTCGCAATGTGAAATCTGAAACCTACCAATGAACTCCTACATTAAAATCCACCAATCCTGATGTGGCACTGTGGGATGATGTACTGGACTACAAGGTCAGCTTGAACTGCAAGGTTGGTGTTCAAATTCACCAGCCACTCCTTGGAAACCCTATACAGGATTGCTGTGGGTCGGAACCAACTCAAAGGCATTTAACAACAACAATCTTGGTGGCATGGTGCTTAAGCACTTAGCTGCTAAGCGAAAACCCACCAGCTGCTCCCCAGGAGAAAGATATGACAGTCTGCTTCTATAAAGATTGAAATCTTGGAATTAACTTGGCAGCAACTGATTGCTTTATCCTATACATTGGATTTTTTCCCTTATGTACTATTTTGAACTTGTGGACCCCTAAAAGCGTCTCAGGGATGCCAGCGGTACCAAAATCACAATTTGAGAAGCACTTCTCCAAATGGTCTTATTTTACACACACCCCTACCGGCCCTCACACTCTGCTCCAGTTTCTCATTGTTCCCCCAGATCCACTAAGCACCTTCTCATCCTCCCCAGTGTGTCCTATCCTGAGATGCTCTTGACCTTCCTTTCTTAAAAGCATGTGAAAACATGATCCCAGATTCAAGTCCTAGTCCAGGTTCCCCTCTCCCATGAAGCCTCCCCCAGCAGACCTTTCCAGTGCACTTGGCCTGAACTTCTCTGAGAGCTTTTATCTCCTTCTAATGTAACTGTCTCCTAAGAGGTGTGGAAGCTACTAGAAGGCAAACCCAGTTCTCACTCATCTTTGTATTCCTAGCATAGTGCCTTGCACTTGGTGAACCAAAAATGTCTGTCACCAGCTTCACACATTTTATTGAAAAAAAAAAAAAAAAGGCAGTACATAAAGTATTAATTAACATTATTACAATATAGATTTTATCTACCTTTTGTTTTAAAGCCTGTATCTCTTTTTTATAAACCTTGACGTTTTACATTCTCCTTGAATGTTCTTTAAATATGAGAAGCAAAGACAACATTTTAATTATCATCTTGAATATATACTTTTAAACCACCCACATGCTCATGCACTCTGCCCCAGGTGACAACTATTCATCTATGCAGCTATTTCCAGATTTATACCGTTGCCAGTTTTTGAACAGCCTCCTCTGAAGCACCAAGGGATGCCAGGCCAATTTCTTGGGAGAACTGGGCAAAACTAGGTTCAGCCAATAGTGGAACATGGCCCAAGAGTTCATGGCAGGTATCTCTAAAAAAGAGGCACAAGTTTGTTACACTGTGATGCTTAACACAAATGCATAACCAATCATTCAATCTTAAATTAAAACCAAAAAAATCAAAATTGGAACTTAGTGTTATTCAAATTCATTAGGTGGTATTACTTTGGTAATGGATCACGAAGGACATAAATCAAATATAAAGAAATGGTTCTGGTTCAAGATCTTTGGCACTCACAGACATACACATACAAATGTTTACTGGACATCCCTAGATATCACATGACTCTTTTCCATTTCAGTCAGGTCTCTGCTCATAAGCCACCTTCTTAGCAAGGCCTTCTTCCTTCCCTGATCAGTCTTTTTAAAAGCAACAACTACTTGCATTTCCATCCCTTACCTTGTTTGATTTATCTCCACAACACTCATTATCATCTGGCATATGATTAGAAGGTAATTCAGAAAGTATTGCTACTAGCATTCCTGTTCATACATTCATGGATTTAGTCCAAAGAAAATGTGTTTAAACATGTCTTTGTAATCAGTGGATGACTGCAGACCAGTACTCCCAGTAATACACTTGTCTTAATGTTGTTTGTTGTTGTTAAGTGCCATGGAGTCAGTTCTGACTTATAGCCACCCTATATAGAACTTCCAAGGAGAAGCTGATATTGTTAGGGTGCCTTTAAAAAAATGGTCCAAACAAAACAATGGCTTCTGAGGGTATCTGCTGGGCCAGTTAAATTCAAGGCAGAAAGAGGTCAACTTAGAAGGCTATGGTGACTGTTTGGGGGAACTCCAAAAGGGTAATTTTGGTAGATTTTCTCAAGGGCACAGGACAATCATGGGAGCTTATTATGAAGCCACTTTAAGAAAACTGGAAACTGTATTATTGAGAAAAAGGCCAGGGAAATTGAGTTGAGAAATTTTTTGTCATTACAACAATGCATCTGCACATGGTAGCAAGGCCTGTCCTATGAAAATTTCATTGGGAAGCCTCACCCTACCCGCCTACAGTCCTGATCTTGCCCCTTTAGACTTCTCTTTGTTTCTATAACTCAAACACTGAAAGAGAACATGATTTGAGTTCTTTGAGAATTCCAAAACTGCCATTTTGACATGGTATAAAAGGAAGAGTGCAGATTTCTTCAGGGAGGGGTTAGAGAGATAGAAACACCACTTTTGGAAGTGTACAGACCTAGAGGAGAATATGTCAAGAAACAATAGCTTCACATTTTGATATTTTTGTTTAATAAAAGTTTCTTTGATTTTGTGTTGTTGTTAAGTTCCATGGAGTCAATTCCAACTCACAGTGACCCTATATAGGGTTTCCGAGAAGTGGCTGGTGGGCTTGAACCACCAACTTTGTAGTTCAAACAGACCTTGCAGTCCAGTGTACATTATCCTGCAGCACCACCCCAGGCAATATTTTTTTAGCTACCGTCATATTTATTTACTTGTTTACTAATAAGTAACTGTCCTTCAATGGACTAGAGTTCCATGAAGGCAGGAATTTGTTCAGAAGAGTAGCATCCTCTATGCCTAGAACAGCACCTGGCACCTACTAGGTTGTTAGTTAATACTGATGATAACAATCTGTTTGGTGCAAACGGTTAGCATACTCGGCTGCTAACAGAAACGTTGATGGTTCAAGTCTACCTAGAGGCACTTTAGAAGAAAGTCATGGTGAAATACTTCAGAAAAAAAATCAATCATTGAAAAATCCAGTGAAGCACAGTTTTACTTTGACACACATGGTGTTGTCATGAGTCAGAATGACTTGATAGCAACAGGATGGCCTTTATAGAACACAGAGCACATGTTATGCATGCTAGGCACTGCTATAAATGCTGTTCTTGAGATAATTCACTTAATCTTTACAAATACTCTGTGAGATAGGTACTTTTACTATAAATGACTATTTGATGAATGAATGACTTAGTAGAAATACTTACGGCTCTGGTGTATAGAGGGGATCTGAACTGTGTCTCACGTACTGAGTACAGTGAAAAACTCGAAAGGCTAAACCTGACAGGAAATCCCGTGGTGATAGGTAGCCAGCCACAGGACGGATGGAGAATCCCGTGTGCTCTGTAAAGCAAAGGAGAAAATGGAGCCTATAATTAAGGACTATAGCATTTTACTTCTGCCAATGATTTTCTGGGGGAGGGTGTAGAAACTAAAATTTCATAATGTTGTTATTGCTAAATGCCATCGAGTCGGTTTCGACTCATAGCAACTCTGTATAGGGTTTCTGAGCAGTGACTGGTGAGTTTGAACCACCCGCCTTGCAGTTCAAACTGACCTTTCGATCTATGAAAACCACTCACCCACTGCCATCAAGTTGATTCCAACTCACAGGGTAGAGCAGAAGTTCCCCAGGCTATAAATCTTTACAAAAGCAGACTGCCATAGTTTTCTCCCTTGAAGACACTGGTGGTTTTGAACTGCTGATCTTTCAGTTAGCAGCTCTTTAACCACTGTGACACCAGGTCTTAAATATATGTACTAAGGGAACTGATACTTACTCAGCATTTACAATGAGCCAAGTAATGAGTTATGCCGTTTATATATTATTATACATTGAATCATGTGAACCCCCTAAAAATATGTTGACGTTCTAGCCACTGTAGCAAGGAATGTGATCTTATTTAGGGAAATAGGAGTTTTCTTTGCAGATGTTATTGGCTAAATTAATGCCATTATAAGGTGGGTCCTAATCCCTTCTCTATGGTGCCTTATAATAGAAAGAGACACACAGGACAGAAGACAGATGCCATGTGATCATGGAAGCACTTGCATCTGTAAGAAGCAAAGGAACATCAAGCATTCAACAACAACCAAAAATTAGGAGAAAGGTATGGAAAAGTCCTTCTCTCAAAGCATGCAGAAGGAACTGGCATGGCCAATACCCTGATTTGGATTTCCTGTCCCTAGAACCATAAGAAAATACATTTCTATTCTTTGAAGCTACCCATTTTATAGTTTTTTATTATGGCAACCCCAGGAAACTAAGACACACATTATATCTCCTTTTCATATTTACAGTGTGAGAAAGAATAGTTTTCTATAATTTTCTATAAAACTGAGACCCAGATACTCAATAATGTTCTCAGAGCCACAGTAAATGATAAAAGTAGGATAAGAGTCCTGGCTTCCTGTTTTCAAACAGCTCCTTTGACAAGGTCTTCTCCCTTTTGAGGCAAAAGCTTACAGTTGCAATCCAATAGTCTCTTACTTTAGGACCACATAGTAATCCTTCTGTTATGTAAGAGAGCCATCCAAATATTTAAATTAACCTATAAAAATAATAAATAAATAAACTCCTTGCCACTGAGGTGATTTTTGATTCAGCAACCTTATAGGACAAAATAGAACTATGTCATAAGGTTTCTACGGCTCTCACCTTTACAGAAGCAGACTGCCACATCCTTCTCCCATGGAGCAACTGCTGGGTTGAAACTGTCAACCTTCTGGTAACTTTTGAACATTTTAACCACTGTGCCATCAGGGCTCCTACATAAAGCTCCAATATCCCCCAAGTCTCTGGATTAAATACTTCAAAATTTACTTAAATGACACATTTTTCAAATCCCTTTATAATTCTGCTCATTTTTCTCTAGACTTGCTTCCAATTTTCATTGTCCTTGTTCAAATATGATGCCCAATACAGGACCCAATGCTCCAAAACAAATGATAGAGTAATGACCTCCCATATACTGAACTCTGTTTCCCCATTAAAAATGCTGTCTTGATTAAGACAGAGTTTAACACTTTCCTTAAGAAAAAAAAAAAAAAACTCACTAGCTTATTACCTTTTAAAAAGTTCGAGACATCTTCCAATTGTGGAATATTATCTTCCCGATATCCACAATATTTAGAGAGCAAAGGTAAGTTTTTGAGGTATTCTCTGCAAGCATGCGTTGGGTAGAGTTTGTTGAGCTCCTGGAACACAGTTCCCCAAGTCTTAATCTCCTCTTCAGTGTATTCAATTTTGGGAATCGGGTCCCCACTAATAAGATAAAGGGATGGAGGTATTTTAAATTAGCATTCATTTACAGTGGTGGTGGTGGTTGTGTGCTGTGGAATCAGTTCTGACTCATAGCAATCCTGTATAGGGTTTCTGAGGCTATAAATCTATATGGGAGCAGAAAGTCTCATCTTTCTCCTTTGGAGTGGCTGGTAGATTCAAATTGCTGACCTTGCAGTTAGCAGCCCAATTTGTAATCCACTATGCTACCAAAGTGCTCCTTTGAGGCCAGGATGGCCAAACTTCATCTCTCATACTTTGAATATATTGTCAGGATGGACCAGTCGCTGGAGGAGGATAACATGTTTGGTAAGGTGGAGGGTCAAAGAAAAAGAGGAAGATCCCCAGCAAGATGGATTGGCAAAGTGGCAGCATCAATGGGCTCAAGCATGGCAACAATAGTGAGGTTGGCCCAGGATCCGGTAGTGTTTTGTTCTGCTGTGCATAAGGTCTCTATGAGTCGGAACCGACTTGATGACACCTAACAACAACAACAACGTGCTACCAGGGCTCCTTTCAATTTACAGTAACACTTACTTTATATTCTATCTACTAAATGGGCACAAGTCACACTATTTGCTATTTTTATTATCTGGAAGTTAACAAAATGATTTTTATAATATACTTACTGTTTGTAGTTCATAGCCAAGTCTGCAAAATACTTCCGTCTTTTACGGTAGACATTGTCTTTGAAGCCCTGAAAATGAAAGGTAAGTTTTAAGATATGTATTTTAAAAAATAATAAACCTTGAAAATGTATTTAGAAATCATTTCTTTACTATTTGAGTTTATTAGTGGGCAATCTAATTGTTACTATGAGCAAATAGTGTGCAGGAGTTTATAACCATGTCTATTCTGAAGTCACTATAGTGACTACAAAGATAAAATCATTTGAGAAATAAAAGAAACTACCTTAGTTAAACACATAGCTCTCTTCCATGGGTGAGTTTGTTTTTCAGTCATTTGATTACTTCATTTTCATTTACATTTATCTGTGGTTAATAATTGAAGTAGTGATTTAACTAAATCTAGCCTTAGATTCTTATCACAAAATTGCAAACTTACTCATTATTTGCAGGAGCAAATCATAATTTAAAAGCACAAATTGACAACTTTAGAAATTTATATCTATAAAAAATGTTTGAGAAAAATTAGATACAATAAGGGTTTAAAAAGGAAAACTAAGGCGGAAACAGCCAATAATATAAAGAATAGGGGTAAGATGGGGAGGAAAGACAATTAAAAGGGGAGCACAGAGTTTAAGAGTCCCACCTAATAAGACTTTGCTGTACAATGGTGAAACACTAGACTGCTAACTGAAAGTTTGGTGGTTCAGACCTACCTAGTGACTGTCCATAAAAAAGACCTGGTGATCTGTTCTATTAAAGATTATTGTTGTATAGGGTTTCCAAGGAGCGGCTGTTGAGTTTGAACTACAGACCTTATGGTTCAAACAGACCTTGAGGACAAGTGCTTATCCTACGGCGCCACACCAGGAAACCTTATGAGACAGTTTACTCTGTTATATAGAATCAACTCGAAGGCACACAGCAACAATTATGCACCTGGCCTTGTACTAAAAGCTGGGAAACAAATTTGCGCAATGCCCAATCTGGGTCTCCTAGGAGTTGACATTAACGGATAATTATAAGACTACGTGATAAGTGCTTGTTAGAAATATAATGAATACTAGGAAAACTGAAAAGAGAAACTCATAATCTAGTGTATTTGAAAAAGGATAGTGGGGTTCAGCAAGACTTCCCACAGACAACTCCTGAAGGAGCAGGAATGGAGACAGCAGAGTGAGGGGGAGAGAGGACTCACAAACAATAGTACAGTGATGAGACGCAGCACATGGTGCCCACCAAACTACAATCAAATGTTTCTGGAGCTTGGAGTGTGAAGTGAAGGACACTAATAGCCAGTGAAACCCAAACAAACAAAAAAACAAATTCACTGCCATCCATCTGATTCACACTCACAGCAGTGCTGTATGACCAAGTAGAATCGTTCCTTACGGTTTCCGAGGCTGTCATCTTTTAGGAGCCTCATCTTTCTCCCTCAGAGCAGCTGCCATGGCCCAAGCTCTGACCTTTGGTTTGCAGCCAATGGTTAACTCACTATGTCACCAGGACTCCTTTGAGAACTAGTTTGGGCCCTGCTTACCAAAGCTCTTTTTAAGGAGCTTAGATTTTAGCCTTTGGGTAATGGGAAGCCACTGGTGACTAAAAAAATTAATAACAGCTTTAATGAGATATAATTCACATACCACAAAATTCAGCCCTTTACAGTGTATAATTTAATTAATTTTAATATATTTACAGAGTTATGCAACCATCATCACTATAACATTTTAGCACCCCAAAATGAAACACCATATTCATACCCCCTTTTTGCCCTCACCAGTACCCCCCTCCCCTCCAGTCACCAGTTATTGGCCATTAAGCCGATTCTGAGTCACGACAACCTTATGTGTGTTAAGACTTTAAGATTTTCAATGATTACATTTTTTTGGAAGCAGATCACCAGGGCTTTCTTCTGAGGCACCTCTGGATGGAACTGAACCTTCAACCTTTTGGTCAGTTGTTGTTAAGTGCCGTCAAACCGGTTTTGACTCCTCGTGACCCTGTATAGTGTTTCAAAGGCTTTCAACTTTCAAGGGAGCAGAAAGCCTCATCTTTCTTCCACCGAGTGACTAGCAGACTCAAACTTTGGAGGCCTTAACTACTTGCACCATCCAGGGGCTCCCTCAGCTCCTAGCAGTCAGCAACCTCCTTTCTGTTTCATTGGATACTCTGATTCTGGACATTCCATATAAAAGATAGAAAATAGGTGACCTTTTGTACCTTACTTCTTTCATTTATCATAATGTTCAAGGTCCATCTATGTTTTAGCAGGTATCAATACTTCATTTCTTTTAATGGCCAAATACTATTCCATTGTCTAGATATACATAGACCATACTTTACTTACCCATTTGTCAGTTGATCTACATCTGAGTTGTTTCTGTTTTTTGGTTATCATGAATAATGCTGCTATGAATATTTGTATACAAGTTTTTGTGTGAGTATATGCTTTCAGCTCTCTTAGGTATATAGCTAGCTAGGAGTGGACTTGCTGATCGTTATAGGCAGAGGAAGGATATGCTGACACTGGGGCTTTATGTAATTCTAGTGTCTCACTTACTGTGGACATGTTATCAACCAGACTGTAAGTGCTTTGAGAGTAAGTCTAGCCTTTCATTAATCCCAGTAGTTATTCAACAACATATTATGGAATAAATGGATGGGTTGTCCCATGGTTACTAAGATAGTATAAAGTCACACTCACATGGCTAATGGGTAGTGAAAACGAGAGTAAAATCCAGCTCTATGAGACTCTACAACTGCACATGCTTCTCTCCTCCCCTCCCAGGAACCTAGAGCTCAGGAAGCAATCTTAATGCTCTGTGCTTAATTCTCCAACTAAAAGACACTGAACTAGTCCATATACTAGTTCAAGGAATCACCAACCTCATTCATCTAGTAAACCAATCATGTGGGACAGGATGGGTAATAAATACTTTTCTCCTTACTATGTTTCATCTTTTTTTCAGTAGCCTATTATCTAATTACTATTAACATATTATTATATATTTATTTCATTTCAATAAAAACTGACTTAGACACTATCTTCATTTTAGTCAGTAATAGGAATGACAGGCATGGGACAGAGTTTTTAGAAACGGTGATGATAGATGCTCTTCAGTGAGTCCATTAGTTATTTTCAATTCTACTCGTACAAATATCATTTATAAAAATCAGGATTAAGAGTCCATTTAGTCTAGAAAAAGCATGTTCTCAAAGGTAAGTTGCCCTTAATGTTTAGTTTTGCTTTAAATTATTTTCATGAAGAAACGTAACAGAAATATTTACAGGATGGTCCGCATCCAGTTCAGATCCATACATCAAAACTCTGTTGGCACAACTGTCCAGGTCAGAAATCTTCTTTGGAAACCAAGGGACAGTTTCCAGACCTGCAAAAATACAAAAATCACTAAAAGCTAAAGAGACAATCTTAAATAGTACAATAAAAAATAAGAAATTAAGACTGACATAAATGGATTTAAATGAGATTTTTTGAGTCAGACTGATTTTCAAAGTGTTGGGAGAAATGCTGTATTTTAGTACCAGAACAAAAGAACCCTGTCCTCAAATTTCTAAGCCATATATTTAGTTATTCTAAAAAGACAGAATAAAAAATGTACAACTTAAAGACCAAGGCACAAATTTAGTAAGAACTTTTGTTTGTTTATCTTTATTGCTAACAAGGATCTTAAAGGTTATGCCACCTTGCTCCTGCCACTACTTCTCAGACATGTAAGTCCTCATAAGGCCCTGGGGGTTTTGTGTATGCTTTGGTACACACAGTTTGCACTCAACTCCTAACCTAATTCAAACTTATCCAGCAGTGCCATGAAAGAGAGGGCTGGCTATCTGCATCCATAAAGATTGTTGTTGTTGATGTTGTTAAGTACCACCAAGTCAGTTCCTACTCATAGTGACCCTGTATATGATTTCCAAGAAGCAACTAGTGAGTTTGAACCGCCGACCTTGTGGTCCCATGATTTATCCCACAGCACCACATCAGGATTCCATAAAGATTATGGCTAGTCGGTTCCTGCTCAAACCGACCTTGCTGTCCAGCACATTAACCCGCAGCACCACATCAAGCCTCCATGAAGCAGTTGTACTCTGTTTCTACTCAGGATCCACTCAATGACAACAGGTTTGGGTTTTTAATTTTGTTTTGTTTTCAGTTCTTCTGGCTGGAAAATCCATCCCCGCCTCACTTAGTCTTCTTTTGTTCCTGCAATATTCTTCTGACTCTTCAAGGTTCAAATCAAGTGAGATCTCCTTATTTGGTAAGTCCTTTCCTGACCTTCCAGGTGAACTAATTCTCTGTCTTCTGAGTTCCCAAGACACTATGGTTCCAACTCCCTAAAGGCTGTTGTTGTACACTGGACTGCAAGGTCAGTTTGAACTGCAAGTTCGATGGTTCAAGCTCACCAGCCACTCCTCAGAAACCCTATATAGGGTCACTATGGGTCAGACCCAACTCTACAACACTTAACAACAACAACACCATATCTACTTATATATCTGTCTGATTTACAAGACTGGAAACTGGAGTAAGGACTATACACACTTTAATATCCCCATTTCTTAGCAGAAATACCTGATAAAAATTGTTGTTGTTAAGTGCCGTCGAGTCGATTCTGACACATAGATACCCTGTGTAGGATTTCCAAGGAGAAGCTGGTGAACTTGAACCACCAACCTTGCAGTTCAAACCCTAAATATCAGCTGAACTAGCTATCTACATGCCTCATTTTATGGATGAGGTATTCGAAGTCCAAAGAGGTAAAAGACAGTTGGTACAAAGCAATTCATTTCCAATGGAGGAGAAAGGATTAGAATCCAATCTCCATGTGCAGTCTAATGCTCTTTGTAATAATATACCCAAGGGTGACATTCAGGAGATTTAACAACCAAAATTACAACAGGGGCACCAATCACTCAAGACAGACATAAGCAGAGTCTTAGGTTTGTGCTGTGACAGGTGTGAGCCATTTAGTGGGTAATGGATTCCTAGGAGAGGACCTGACACGAGAACAGGGAGACAGAGACTTCAGGCATGATGGGGATCTCTCAAGGGACTTAAGGAAACAACTATCTATACTACAACAGAAGTATATCAATATTTTAATAACTGACACAGTCATGTGAATGTTTGACAGATGACTGTCAGTCCAAATACTATGATATAACCTGAAGGGATAATTTTAAATTGAGTACCATATATAAAATATGGCTGAATTATCCACTTGCCTTTGGCTCCCAACTGAACTACAAATTTTTTTCACAAATGGAGGATCCTAGCATATGTCTTTGTTGAATATCTGAAAACTTAGAAGGCTATATTGCTTTTCATTTGCTTTTGTTAAAGGACAGAGAGAACTGCTGTACTTGTGTATTTCATATTGCAGTTGTCAGCAACTGTCCACATTCTCAACAAATCCAAATGTTCACTGCATATCTGCTAGAGGCAAATAACTATGATAAACTTGGGGAGATTAAGAATTGTAAAATGAAAATTTTGGATGATGATTTGGAAATAAAGAAAGAATTCTTAGCTAATGATTTTGAATTCTTATATTCAAGGATTCTTTCTCACCCCTCTTGCACTTAATCTAATGTTGTTTTATATTTTTTTTTCAATATTTTGAACAATTATATGTTGTGTTCCCTTTGCTACCAGACTATAAGAGACAGTATTTTTACTTTCATACTTGCGACATTAACATAAGATTGCACACATGAGGCACTTAATCTTTTGTTTTTAATTTTAGTTATTAAACTTATAAGTAGAATTTTCACTTTTCAAACGTACCATTGGTCTTCATAGTCAAATCATCTGATGGATTCACGGAGAGAACGTTAGTATGAGACTTCAACAGATGAAAAATGTCATTCAGTTGTTCTCTGTTGATATCACAATCAACAAAAATCTCAAATTCCGAGTTTCTTCTCTTTGATTTTCGCGACTCAATATGTAACAGGTTCACATGCTTCTCCTGCATAAAGAAGAGTGGAGTTTGCGTGTAACTTGCATATATATTAATAGGCTCTGAGCAGACTAATCTAAACATTAAGAAGTAATTTCTCAGCAGTGCAACCAAAATGGAAATAATGAGAAAGTTCACACATTGTGACGAATGTAACCCATTGTCACTGAACAACTTGAGCAGCAGTTGCTAAATGCAAACTTAAACTGCTGTGTAAACCTTCACCAAAGACACAACAAAATATTTTTTACTAAAATCAATTTCATACTTGTCATAATAACCAAAAAGGGGGGGAGGGGTAAATCTGTTTTTAGTGCAGCCAACAGTAAAATAATTTCCCATAAATATGGCACTTTTGGATAAGTGCCATATTTATGGGAAAGTGGGTTTGGAGATTCAAATCCACCAGTCGCTCCTGGGAAACCCTATACAGGGTCACTATGAGTCAGAACCAACTCCACGACACTTACCATTCAAACAAAAAACACATTTAAAAAAGTTTGGAAACTTTATCACACTCTACAGAAACCAATAAATAATACCTACTAAAGGTTGTTGTTGTTGTTGTTCAGTGTTCAGTTGGAATCGAGTTGATTCCAACATAGCGACCCTGTACAGGGTTTCCAAGGAGAAGCTGGTGAGCTTGAACCACCAACCTTGCAATTCAAACAACTTTGCAGTCTGATGCATTAGTCCACAGCGCCACACCAGGACTCCAGAGGTTGTTAGACTCTGAATTAATTGGCATTCAAATCAAAATCAAATCAAAATCATTCCTCATTTACCAACATAGTTAGGTTCCAAAGACCAGGTTGTTGTAAAAAAAATCAGTGTTATGTGAAAATGGAGGTTGACCACATCAGATCACAAAATTGAAGACGACTATATCATAACGGAGCTCTGGTAGCATAGTGGTTATGAATAGGGCTGTGAACCACAAGATCAGCAGTTCGAAACTACAAGCTGTTCCAAGGGAGAAAAATGAGACTTTCTGCTCCTGTAAAGATTTACAGCCTCAGAAACTCTGTACAGGATCACTGTGAGTCAGAACCAACTCCATAGCACATAACCACCACCATATCATTATATGTGGAGTCCTGGTATGGTACTGTGGGATAAAGCACTGGACCACAAGGTTGATTTGAACCACAGGGTCAGCAGTTCAAACTCACCAGCCACTCCTTGGAAACCTTATACAGGTTCATTACAAGTTGGAACCAACTTGACAGCACTTAACAACAACAACAACATTATATGGAGCCCTGGTGTAGCACTGTAGGGTAAGCACTGGACCACAAGTTCTGTTCGAATCACAAGGTCAGCAATTCAAACCAACCAGTCACTCCTAAAGAACCCTATACAGACAGGGTCGCTATGAGTTGCACGTAAATGTAAAGAAAACAAAAATCCCCACCACTAGACCAATAAATAACATCCAAATAAATGGAGAAAAGATTGAAGCTGTCAAAGACTTCATTTTGTTCAGATCAACCATCAACACTTTTGGAAGCAGCAGTCAAGAAATCAAACAGTTATCATGACTAATTGTGACTGTCACAACTGTAAAGGTAGAAGTTTTGCAGCAAAATGGGGGAGTAGTTAATCTTACATTCCAGGAAACAGAGACACCAGAGATGGAGGCAGAGATGAGGACATGGAGAGATACAGCAGCTACGGACTCTAGATTCATGGAAAGAGAAAGGCTGTGTGCTGGTGGCCAGCAGGCAGGCTTGCAGAATGTGCCCTTTGATTATTTAAACATCCTGAGTGTTTTTGTGTATATACAAAGAAAAATAGAGGGACTAGAAGTAAATACTGTTGATGATGCATGGAGGAGGTTGTAATCATTGCAATGAAATGATGAGTGTAAAACCAATGTTCTCCCATGTAAACGATCACTCAATTCACAATAAAAAAATTTTTTTAAAAAAAATCAAATAGTGTGTTGTATAAGGCAAATCTGCTGCATAGGACCTCTTTAAGGTGTTCAAGAGCAAAGATGTCAGTCTGAAGACAAAGGTGCATCTGACCCAAGCCATGGTATTTTCAATAGCCTCATATGCACGTGAAAGTTAGACAATAAATAAGGAAGACTGTAGAAGAATCGATACATTTGAGTTATGGCATTGGAGAAAAATATTAAAAGTACCATGGACTGCCAAAAAGTAAACAACAACAAACAAATCTGTATTGGAAGTGAGGTGGGAAATTTCCACTCGAAAGGACAAGCAGACCAGCCTGGAGCAGAGAGAAGACCAAAAGACACTTCTTGAAAGAAAAACCAACGGGAAAAATACAAAACAATAATGGCAGTCTGACTGACTACTACAAGAACAAGCAAGCTGTTTGCCCAGAAGACATCAAGGCAAGTGGTCAGGTCCCCTCAGAACAAACCCCCTTCCAAGACTAAGACTCAACAGGAATACACGAGCAGATGTGGACTCTGACTGGTAACCATGTTGGTCATGGATAAGGGAAAGTGAGGGAAAAACAACATTGAAGCTGTGAGGTAAGTCCTACCATGTTCAATATACTCCTGTGAACCTGGGTGGAGACCTTGTTGACCAGTAGTGTGGCAAGACCTGGGGATGTCTGGGCCCAGACTCAGTGACATAGCCCCAGAGGACTAGAGTAGAGAAAGAAGCGGTTAAGAAATTAGGGCATATGCACAAGAACACCCACACTTGCAGATAATACACACTTGACCTGGCTTCAACGGAAGTTTATACCCACTTTGACCTGGATGATCAAAACTCAACTAGAGGAAAGAAGAGGGAAAAAAGCATAATCTGATATAATTTGATGAACTTGACCTACACCTATGGATGTAGTAGCTCAAAGGAGGGAACAAATCTTTACAGCGAGGATCATTCCTACCCCCTTGAAACACCAGGTAGACAGGGATGGGAAACTTGGACATTGGCTACCCAAAATAGCGGGAGGGCGGGGGAGGCTACAAAGGCAAGAAGTGACTGACTTACAAGCTTTCAAGATGGAGCCTAGGTCCAGAGGGTTCAGAGGGAGGTAGAACCTCCACTGAGTAGTAGCCAATCTGTCTGGGCAGAGCTGATAAAAGGAGATGGGAATAGGACTCTTGTGGTACAATAGTGAATAATTGCTATCAGGACTGACTGTGATTGTTGTAAATGTAAAGGTAGATGTTTGGAATCAAAAGGAGGGGAGTGGTTGACTTTGCAGTCCAGGAGCGGAGGTCCCTGGGACCATCAAGGGAGAAGAGCGGAGTGTGGGGACCCTAACCAGAGAAACAGTGACACCAGATATGGAGGCAGAGACGATGACATGGAGAGATGGAGTGGCTGGGGACTCTAGATCCAGAGAGGGAGAGGGGCTGTGTGCTGATGACTGAGGGGCAGGCTTACGGGGTATACCCTTTGGTTGTTTAATGATGCATGAAAGGAATTAACCATGGCAATGAAACAATATACGATAGGATGAATGTAAA